TCCGCTGTGGCAGCGCGGCGTTGCGGGGCTAACTGTGGGCGCTGGCTTCTCAGAGGGAGCGGGAGCGGGAGCGCAGGAACAGTGACAAATCAGAAGATGGCTACCATTCCGATGGCGACTACGGCGAGCACGACTACAGGAACGACATTAACGATGAGAAAGAGAGCAAAACCATCATGTTGCGGGGCCTCCCCATCACGGTTACGGAGAACGATGTAAGTAGCCGGGAAGGGGCTTCGCTTTTCTCGCGCCGGGGAGAGTCTGTGGCGTGGCATCGGCAGGTCTGCGCCGTAGTTGCTGCTGCCATTTTGTTGAAAGCTGCATCATGGTGGCCCCCTCTCCAGCGTGTTGGTCGCGCTGCCATTTTGAATCCTAAAAGGATTTAAGCTGTCACTGTTAAGTAACAGGTCAGTTGAATGTTAACCAGTGTCTTTGAAACCGAGCAGCCTGTGAATAGTCTTTTTTTCATGCATGTTTGGATGCTTTCCCTAAGAGTGTATTTTAAACTACTTGCTCATTTCGATATAGGAGGGAAGGGGCAGATTGTTTTTGTTCTCCCCCCCAGCTCTGGGAGGGGGAGGGAGACAGAGGCAGAGAGGAGGTACCTTCCTGAATTTTCTGAGGTCTTTTTTGAGGCCAGAAGTTCTAGCTGGGGGGGTTGCACACACAGCTCCACAGCTGAGTACAGCCCTGCACAGAGCTGCATTGTGTGGGTGCAGCTGGGGAAGTCATAAAATGGCTGCTGCGGAGCTGGCAGAGCAAGTATAAATGAGCTTGGTGAATGGTTAGCTAACATTGCTTCATAGATACTGAAGGTGATCAGCTCTGAGCTTTTTTTTATTTTTTTTTAAATTTTTTTCTTCCTTGCTGGATTATTTTGGTTACCAAGCTACAAGGCCGTTAGTTGAAGGGCAAGGGGGAGCCCTGTAAAAGCTGAGCTATTCCAGTTTGTTTTCAGGCAGACTCCACCTCTGCCTCCGAGATATTTGTGCATTGCTAACATAGAGAGCCCTTTTGCACCATTTCTGCAATGGATTTTTTTTTTTTTTTGCTTCCCTTGATTATTCACTGTATTAATATTGAGCGTTCCTTTTAATCATCCTGCGCTGGTGTCATATTTTCATAAGCGCTTGATAAAGCGTAGGCTCCTGCATCCATGTGAGACAACCCGGTCAGGCATTACAGGGAACACTTCAGAACAATTTCTTTCTGAGGTATTAACGTTGTAGCTTTACAGTTGTGCAAGTAAGTAGCATAATTTATGGGGAAGTTTAAATCTGGACTCATCTGATGCATCTTGGAACTGTTGTTTTCTTAAGTTAGCGTTAGTTCAATGCTTCTGATTGTGTACATATTTTTCAGCTTTTTCCCCTTTTGGCATGAAAAAAAGCTACTTGCACTGAAGATACGGCTTCCAGTCAGCATGTAAATGGGCAACTTCAGTTTTGAGTCTGCTAAGCAGCCCTGTTGTGTGTAATGTAGTTTGAATTCTGTAAGAGCTGCTGAAAAACCTCCTTTTGTATTCTGCTCTGACGTGAAAAAAATGTTAGCGTGTTTTTTACCTGCATGCCTCCCCACAGGAATTCATGTAGCCTGTGCCACAACTTAAGCAGCTTTGTTACAGCTGAAGAACTGACGTCTCTAGCTTTTTCTTTGACAATACATTTTTCACAAATCTACTTTATCTTCTGAAAAACAGAAGGGGAAGTGTTAGAGGATGGGCACTGTAGCATGAGGCTTAAGAATACGTATGTCATGGAGCCTCACAGTATAGTGTTCTTGTTCTTTGCTAGGAGCCGGGAGTATTAGATATGCAGGGAGAGGGATGCTAGTAGTGTTCTTTGTAAACACTGTGGAGCAAGCACAGTGTTTGCCAAATCTTGCCCAAAAAACCTTGGAACACAAGATTGTAGGGATTCATACTCTGGATGATTCTGTGGCATAAGTGCTACACTAAACCAACTGTCATCTTCAAAGGACTGTGGGTTCTCTGGTGCTTGTTAGTCTCCTGTTAGGTTCTCCATAAAGGTTTTCTCTGAGGTAGTGTTGAGAATTCTATGTTTCTGTGTGCCTCTTGCATATACTGTAAGGTAGGTTCATCCTGTGACTGTCCTTGCTGTCTGCCAAGATGTGGAAATTTAACTGTCTGATTAAAATCTCACGCAGATTCGGGAGCTTATTGAGTCCTTTGAAGGTCCTCAGCCTGCAGACGTGAGGCTGATGAAGAGAAAGACAGGTGAGAGCTCTTAATCCAGTTTTTGACATCGCCTTCCTCTTCCCCAGCCCAAAAGAGTATCCACAATTGTCCCTAAACTGCAAGCACATTCAATTAAAAAAAAACAAAAGGTTTGCCATGGCTAAGGAATGTGGCTTTTTGGAAGACTTTTTAGATAGCTGGTCAACATGTTAAAAGAAGTCTGTCTACAGGGGGTTTTCTTAACAGGTATTGGTAAGTAATAATAGTATAAACCCATTTAATAGTATGTAGTCTGTTGCATGGTTACCTTTAAACATGGATTCAAGTCGAGTGA